GAGTCATGAAGACTATCGGGGCTAGAGGCATGATGACACTTGCCAAGCATTAACTGTGACGTCGATGTTGTCAGTGAGGGGATCTCGAGGCCGAAGTCCTTTAGCTTGGCCGAGAAGTAATGTCTTTCGAGTCGTCATTAGGAGGCGTCAAATAGATAGTCGAGTGGGCTCGTTGTGAGTCGTCTTCGACAAGAGGGTCGACTAGTACCACCTTTTGAGTCGATATGAAGGAATGTCGACTCGACGAGTCGGCTAAGTTGGAAGTCTCGCTAGTTGATCAGGCCGCCAATTTGATTGGGGCATTGCATGCAGAAGTACACCCGTTCGTTGTTAGCAAAGAATTGCACTTAGGTGATTGAAAACACCATAACAATTATATTTTTATATTATTAATAAATATTACTAGTATATTAGATTAATTATAATATAGTATAGTATACTATAATATTATATAATTAATATGTCTATAATAATATATATTAATTACATTTAATATATTATGTTATATACTATATTAACACCTCCTCAAACTCAAAACCAAAATACAAAACTCAAAACCAAAACACTAAACTTAAAACACCTAAAAGGTATTTTGAAATAAGTGTTGCGTTTTTAGTTTGGGGATGATTTAGATAAAAAAACACTACGGTTTTCAAATGTATGACGTTTTATTTTTGGCAAAATACCATGAAAATAAGTAAAACAACATGATATCTAAACGAAGCCTTAATTAATTTTTTTATTTCTAAATTGATTTAGTTGTAAACCGGAGAGAGTTAGTCCACAATTAAATTAATTCTTTCTAAAATCAACTTAGAAAATAAGTGTGACTTAATTTTTAGTGATTTGCCAAACACAACTTTAGGTAATGGATTTTCTGTGATATATCTATTGCCAAATTGATAATATAATTTTATATATGGCTAGTTATATAAAAACTTTAGCGATAACTTTTTACTATTATTTATAGAATGAATCTCCAAATCAGTTAACAAAATTATATAACAATCAGTAAGTTTTATTAATTTTCTATAATAGAACTAAAAAATATTTATATTTGTGAAATGTTGATAAAGATTAAATTCATCATCTGCTAGAGCCAAAAAAAAAAAACAGAGATATAAACAGTATTTTTAAGGCTAAAAATATTACTTTAGCTTTAACCCTAGATAATGAGCTAAAAATATTGTAGCATGGCGAGTATTTTCAAAATTCAAAAAATACACTGTAGCATCATCAGTTGGAAGTTCCACTATTTAAACACACAGCGTACAATATTTTGTTTTCAGATGAAAAACATAATAAAAATGGCTATAGGTGTAAGATTTCAAACCAGATTAAGAAGTGTACGAAAAAAATCCAACTTATTGTGGACGTGAGGAACCCGTTCAAAACAAAAATCTTTGTTTCGTTGATTTTTTGATAGTTTTTGTTGATTGATAATCATTTGAGATAAGCAATTACTTACATCACGTGAATAAAAATCTATAGAGAAAATCGTGTGCTAAAAGGAAGTTTAAAAAGCAAATGAAAAAAAGAAAAAGAAAAAAAGAAAGAGAGAGAGAGAGGGTTTCTTAGATGTTAGTCCCTTAAAATTTTAGTTATTATGATATTAGTCCCTCAACTTAATATTTTGATATTAGTCGCTCAAAGTGCCTTTAGTTGTTAGGTTTTCTATTAAAATACCTAAGCTATGGTTGATTCAATCTTAACCATCAATAGTAAGGGCGTCTCCAATGAAGCGTCAAAACTTCATTTTGAAGTGTTTTGGCACTCCAATGGAGCGCCAAACATCCAGCTAAAATAGCAGGATGCTACTGTGTTGCGCCAGAAATGGCACAACATTGTAGCAATAGCGCAAGTTTTTTTTCTTTTGTTATTGTTGATGCTCGTGAACAAACAGTTGATGGGGGTGAGGTTGTCTGCTGAGGGAGGATGATAAAGGATAAAGGGGCCGACTCCCCCTCCGACTTTATGCCTAGCTCTGAGCGCACGAGTGGACTGATGGCCTGCACACACAAGGAACATTGGGGTATGAGGCGTGTTTCCCCCGTGGTACCTTCGACGGTCAAGTTAGAGGATGAGTTTGAGGGAGGTTTTGGGGAGAGTCTCTGAGCCATTGAGGTCCATGCAGGGTTCATTCTCATTTGAGAATTTATTTAGAAGCAACTTGAAGAAAAGAATGACTTCTTAGTTTTTTGAGTTCATAGAATCTGAATCCCAAAAAAGCCTGCTCATCCTTTTTTCTCTCTCTCTCCTCCCCCTCTCCTTCCTCCTTCTTCTCTGGATCCATTGCCTCCCTCTTTATAGGCTGTTGAGCTAGGATAGACACATGACTTCATTAGGGGTCTGAGGACGTGGGTGGGGGATGAGCTGGAGGCTGAGTCCGCAGTAGTCCTTTCACGTGTCGGCTGGCGACTGGAGGAGATACTATTTCGAGATGATCTTGATAAGGCTTCAGGATTGATTAGATAGCGTATGGCCGAGAATACGACGAGGTGCTAAGTCGTCCTTATCTTTACAGATGGCGGTTAGTGATTGGAGGGCAAGGCACTCGAGTACAGAAGACGCCTCGATAACGTCCCAGGTTTGATAGATAAGGATAAAGGGAAGATAGGCTGACCGATCTAGCCACTCATTGCTTCACAGATGGCAGCTGGCGACTGGAGAAAAGATCGCCCGAGCTCAGAGGGTGTCTTGATTACGTCCCAGAAGTGACTTGGGAATAGAATGAGCCGTCTTTGCATTTATTGATTACGTCCCAGAAGTGACTTGGGAATAGAATGAGCCGTCTTTGCATTTAAGACTTCGTCAGAGTTTGAGACTTTTGATGTGACTGATCAATACTGTGGTTGATTGATGTATGTATTGGAAATAGCTCAGTTGGATGACTCGGATCTTTATCTTTCCCAGCATGATTGAATTGGAAGGCGGGTCGTTCTCGTAACTTGTTGACTAGATAAGTGAGTCGTCAGCCCAGTCAGACAGCTCGGTAGACAACCGAGTCGTCACTGGGGGAATCGTCTCGATTGGGAGTTGGGTGGACTCCTGAGTAGTCGCCTTAAAGGCGAAGGGTCGACTGCTTCCGTGCTTCGTGTCGGCTAAAGCGTTTGGCTTTTGGCTAGGCTTTTCAGCTAAGTCGATTTGAATTGTGACTCCAATAGGCTCATGGAGACAATATTCTAATCGTTTTTGTTGATAAATGGTAGGTTACCATAACAGTTATTTATATTGGTATTAATAATATATATTATTTTATATTAACTAATTGCAATACATTAAAATTAGGACATTAAAAATTAACACTAATTGCAATACATTAAAATTAAAGAAAAATAGGACATTGAACATAAACTTAAAGAAGTATTACATGATATAATGAAGACGCATTTATTTTTTGCTTGCAAGTGTGATGTTTTCTTTTGTGATGTTAAATGTAATCTTTAGTTGAATTTATGAAAGTAATATTTTAATTTGATTTAGCATTTAATTTTTATATTTTTATTTTATTCATAAAATATATTATTATAATTAATTATATGTAATGTATTATATAATTATATAATTTGTTAAATATTTTAAATAGATAAAAATGTTAAAAGATAAGAATAATAAAATGAATATTCTTTTTTGTGTAACATTTGGTGTAATGGGTTGGAGATAAAATAGTGATTTGGTGTAAAAAACTACACCAACTTAGTGTAAAAACCACACCATTTTGGAGCCTTGGTTTGGAGATGCTCTAAGTTGCCAAATTATCCCCATTGTAAAAACTACACCGTTTTGAGCTGGAGATGCTCTAATGTCCCATAAATGTAATCTACTCCTCTACACAAATGGGAGAACCTAAGTTTTACTATTCATGCTACAGTAAAAATACTACAATGGTATTTATTGTAGTAATATTACTGTAGCAAACATGAAATTGGATATTGGGTTTTTTGAAAAAATGTTACTGTAGCACACGAGAATACTGTAGTAGAGGTGGAGATACCGTGACAATTTTAAATAGTCAAAAATTCTGTAGCAGTAGCGGAGAAAAAAATATGCCGTGCTTTGCATGGTGTTCACACTAGTAGTTATAGATAACGGAATACTCGCCTCTAGAATAAACAGAAACTAGCTTGAGGGACTAATATCAAATTACTCAGGTTTGGGGGGACTAATACCAAAATAGTTCAGATTAAGGGACTAATATCTAAAAAAAAAAAACCCCAAAAAAAAGAATAAGCTTATAGCTATAGTTGCGTGGTAAGCTTGCTCAACTTTATTCACAGAGGACAATAAGATACGTACTTGCTATTAACATTCTCCATCTTTTCCCTCGCCCTTTTGGAACTCGTTGTGATTATTACTAGTGTTCGGCCTCCCAAGTAGCAAAGCAGCATTATTGCTTTGCTTACCTAAGTGCATATGTCTCCTTTTGCGACAATTTTCTTATTCTACTAGGCGGCAACTTTTTGTGGAAGAAATGCCATAACTATGTAATGTAGCTTTTATAAAGAAAAGACTGATGACTAGGCTACTTGTTTTAAGTCAAAAAGGAATATTAAAGCACTTGTCGTCTATACGCTATTTTGAAGGATCGTGGGTTTATAATGACTCGTCAATGTTAATAGCATTAATCCAAGTGGGAAGTACCCTACGCTTTTGTGTGTAAAAGCGTAAGAGCAGTTTAGAGAGTATAGTTTAGTTATGATTATTCTTTTTTGTTTTTAGCCGAGAGTAATTTCAGAACGACTGTGTGTGATCTTGCCTGCCTATTCTTTGCAGGTTAAGCATGGACCATGGTCTTCTTTCTTAGTTGGATCCAGCAGTTGCTCTCTTAGTTGAGCTCATTAGTTTTCATGGACAGCTAACTAAAGCAGCACAACTAATGTTTTTGACTGATGAATCATGATCCCAATCTCAGTAATTGAACATCCGGTGGAACAGATGAAGCAGATCAAAACAAGAAACTTACCGCACAACATCAATAACATGAAATGGTAGAAGAGATCAAGTTAAAAGTCTGCTACTTTAAACAGTTTCTATATCCATCTACCATTCACAGCAGCTTCGAAACGAATAACGACCAACAGAAAAACAATCAGCAACCAGCCTCTACTCCTATGCTCTACAATACATAAAACTGACCAATGGAATAAAGATCTGCACATAGTTTCTTATTCCAAATATGTACATTATATCTTTAAAAAAAAACCCTCGGCATAAAATTAATCATTCCAAAATATATCACCACCTCAATTGACCAAACTGATTATTTTGAGGATTGGCAGTGTTGAACATAGGATAGTGAGGGCTCGGTTTAAGGAGTTATCGGTCCATATGAGGTGGTAGATATCGCTCCACATAAGGTGGTAGATATCGGTCCATACGTGGTGGTGTATATCGGTCCATATGAGGTGGTAGATATCGGTCCACATAAGGTGGTAGATATTGGTTCATATGAGGTGGTGGAGATGGTGTAGCAATTGGAGCGTGGTTTCTCCAAGTAGGTGGCCGTGGTGATACAGGAGATTCTCTATTCCAATGTTGTGTATATGGCGGTGGTGATACATGTGATCCTCTATTCCACTGTTGACTAGGTGGCAGAGGCACAGGCGATCCTCTATTCCAGTGTCGCGTTGGTGTCGGTGGTGGTACAGGCGATCCTTGATTCCACTGTTGTGAAAGTGTCGCTGGGGGTACAGGCGATCCTTGATTCCACTGTTGTGAAAGTGTCGCTGGGGGTACAGGTGATCCTCTATCCCACTGTGTAGGGTGAGGACGAAGACTAGGCTGGAATCTATTAGAGGCATCCATCTTCTTATGCTCAAATGGTAGTTGATGAGAATGACGAGAAGGGTTATTTGAGACCTCGGCTTTCTGTTGATCCTTCTGTGGATGGAGTTGATCAGAAGCAGGTTCAGAGCTGTCAAAATTTTTTACAATGTTAGAAGGTAGCATTATAGCTTGAATAAGAGAGACACACATCTTCTACGATCTCAAAAGGATCCTAAACCAACTTTTAATAATCTTAATCTGCATTCTCTGCCATTTTTTTCTTACTTCCAAAATAATAAAGATTTAAGTAGGGAAAATAGCTTTCATGATAGAGGATGAATCTGTGTGACGAAATTTGAAATAGGACCAATGTAATATGATCAGCAGCATGCCAACACAACTCCCTTCCTATTCTACTATTGTAAAGCAAGGAGATCTGCATGACATGTTATCACAGAAATCCTTGACAACCTATGATAAAACAAGGTCTGTCATGCCGAGAAAAAAATCTCTGTCTCACTCTCACTCTCACTCATACATATCTCTCTATATGTGAAATCATAAATAATAATTATTCCATTTTAACTAAATTTACTATGCTATTTCCAAGAGAAAAAGTTAATAGTAATGTGAAATAACCTTACTGTGTTAATTGACTAGGGTGAGAAGTATGTCACCAAGAATCCAGGTACCTGGCAGCAAGCCTACCTTGGAGTTGTCAACGGGTTAGACCTTTTCTCGTGCTTATTATCCGTCTCCGGTTGTAAGGTGGAAGCATCTTTTGCAATCTCCCTTGTCTCTTGTTGCTTGATCGGCTTCTTCTCAATTCTCTCTGGGTGTAATGTGGAAGCGTCTTTTGCAATTTCCATTGTGTCTTGTTGCATGATCAGCTTCTTCTCATTTTTCTCTGGTGGTAATGTGGAAGGGTCTTTTGCAATTTCCATTGTCTCTTGTTGCTTGATCAGCTTCTTCTCAATTCTCTCTGGCTGTAATGTGGAAGCATCTTTTGCAATTTCCATTGTCTCTTGTTGCTTGATCAGTTTCTTCTCAATTCTCTCTGGCTGTAACGTGGAAGCATCTTTTGCAATCTCGATTGTCTCTTGTTGCTTGATCGGCTTCTTCTCAAATCTCTCTGGTGGTATTGTGGAGGCATCTTTTGCAATTTCCGTTGTATCTTGCTGCTTGATCAGCTTCTTCTCAATTCTCTCTGGTTGTAATGTGGAAGCGTCTTTTGCAATCTCCATCGTCTCTTGTTGCTTGATCGGCTTCTTCTTAATCTGCGACATAAAATAAGATAATGAGAGACCTAAATACCATAACATTGTTGTTATATATCTCGGCCGCGATGTAGGATTTCATGTTTGTGCAACAAAACGTGGAATTTACTCATTCATCATGCCTTGGGCCATCCAAAATTTTGAACACAAAATAAGCTAATCGCGAGTACCTTCCTGTAGCACTTGCAAGATCTGTGCCCAGGATTCCTACAGTGGGAGCATGGCTTTCGCATTTGCTCCTTAATCACAGTTTGTTTCTTAACAACAAGGTTGCCTTTCTTGTGCTTCTTCTGTGGTCCCACATCATCCTCTTTCTTGGTGGGATCATGAGGTTGAGGTCGCTTGATTTCAAGTCTAGATGTGTCTTGAGGGTTTCTCTCTGCAACAGAAGCAGTGGAGTTGGGCTTGGCATTCCCTAGAGCCTTCATAATTTTGTGGGGTTGATAAACACCTTGAGAGGTCCTGATATTGGCATGTATCCAAAATAAAAACTGGCAGAATAGTTCCAAATAATATGAGGGCAATTCCCCATGAAAATATCGGGGAAGGACTAAACAGTCTAAACTTATGTACATGTAGTACTTATAGGAAAACTTCAATAGCTCTATTCACATATAGCTTGTGGTGCAGGGCCTTAGGCACTTAGATTAAATTAGTGATCAAAGAATATGCAAAGCATCCTATAAGGCAAAGAGATATATAAAGAATTCAATTTCCATGATGTACATAAGAAAAGCGTATGTGAAATGAGTTTAGTGCACAACCATCCTTAATGATCAACAAACATGCATCTATACTGTTTACAAAAGGGAAAAACAATCACTTGTATATAATTCTTAACATTTCATGGTATTGTTTTCATTAAAATTATGGTCCTAAATACGGAAAAATCATTTAGGCTGTCAATGACATGGAAAATCATTTAGGAGTACAAAAAATGAGGCAAGAAAGTGTTCAGTAAGTGTTTAGTATTGAAAGCAACACAATGATGCTACACGTTGTGAAAGGGATAATGTTTCATAATGTGATGATATTTCATATTAGTGGAAATTTGAAAGAAAAAAAGAAGAAGAGTTTAGCACACAAAATGATGATACGAGATCTTAGGAAAAACAATAGGCCACAAATGACGTGAAAAACGTATGGAGCGAACACATGGCTTCATTTTCTCCTCATGAGTACTAGATATAGTGCTACAGATATGACCTTAATAATCTATAAGATGCTCACATATAAAAGTGAAAAGTGGAAGAGCCGTAGGACTGGATGATATCCTTATTGAAGTTTGGAAATGTCTTGGAGATATAGGCTTAGGATTTAATAAGATTATCGAGACGAAAAGAATGCCGGATGAATGGATTAATACTTTGATACCGATATACAAGAATAAAAGAGATATACGAAGTTGTTCAAATTATCCAAGCGTATTAAAACTTCGAGTCGATACTATGAAACTTATGAAGAGCACCGTGTATTAGACGAAAATACTAAGAAAGGCAGACAAGATATACTGAAATATCAATTTGGTTGTTATGCCTGATAGCTGTACAATTATGGAACCATATACACCATTTTTAAGACGATTGATCGAAGATATACAGAGAGTAAGAAATGATTACATATGATTTTTTTTCGATCTAGAAAAAGCTTAATGGATACTGCCTGGCGAAGACGTAATGTGGTGAGTGAGTGTTGGAAAAGAAGCATATATATATATATATATATATAATTATATATATATATATATATATATATATATATATATATATATAATTATATATATATATATATATATAATATAGGTAAAATGGCCAGATTGGTATATTTTCTTGAGGCTTGGTGACAAGTTGGTATATTTTCTTTTAGTTTTGTCAGATTGGTATATTTTCTCAACTCCGGCGCCAAATAGGCCTTAAATTTAGCCGGAGTTACTCTTCCGACCAGTGCTGATGGGATTTTTTGCATAAAACCCCCTCATCAAATACAGTTTCCTGCCCCTAACCCCCCTCTCCCTCCTCCTCCTCCTCCTCTTCAACCTCCCCCTCTCCCTCCTCCTCCTCATCCTCTCCCTCCTCCTCCCTCCTCATCCCTCTTCGACCAGTGCTGATTAGCAGTCTGCAGTATGCAATAATAAGTAGCATTAAGGAAATAAGATCCACACTCGTAAACTTGATTGTTAGGTAATATATCTTTTTAGGTATATACTTTGAGTTTCTAGGTGACGTGGTGTCAAACTTTTGGAGTATGTTAATCGATTTTATTGTACTACAGAGAAACTAATTTAGATGATTACTATATGCAATATACAATTCCATGACATGGAATAACAGTCTCTTAGTGTTTAGACATCATGTTTAGTAGGTTTTCATGGTGCTGGAGCATCAGGACACAAACATTGCACGCAAAAGCACAAACAGAATTCTAATAACTTAATTCATTATTTCAATCACATGGTCAAGATGAGAAAAGAGTAAATGAGACTGTTCCAACTTTAGACCCTGGGAGTCTGGGACTATATATTTCTTGATTTTTTTTTCTTATGTGCAGGGGTTTCAATAGGAACTCAAGGAGGCATTACTGAAGGACTTTCATCAGCGCTGTGTGTTGTGTGCAGCGATAGTGATGTTGAGGCACAAGAAGTGTTTAATGTGACAAGTTCTTCGGATAGTAGTTTGGTTGAAACCTCAGCTTCTAATGCTCAGCCTAGTGAGGGGGCGGAGCGAGAGGAGGAGGGGAGGAAGGAGGAGGAGTCGAGGAAGGAGTTGACGACGGCGAGGACGGAGGAGGAGGGGAGAGGCAGAGGGATTTGGAGGAAGGGGAGGAGAGAGGGGGGTGGCGGCAGAGAATGGGCAGAGGTGGAGAAGGCCGAAGGAGGAGGAGAGGAGGGAGGGGGAGGAGAAGATGGAGGGGATTGGGAAGAGGGATGAGGAGGGAGGAGGAGGGAGAGGAAGGAGGGAGGGGGAGGAGAAGATGGAGGGGATTGGGAAGAGGGATGAGGAGGGAGGAGGAGGGAGAGGAGGAGGAGGATGAGGGAGAGCGGGAGGTTGAAGAGGAGGAGGAGGAGGGAGAGGGGGTTAGGAGAAGAAAACTGTATTTGATGAGGGAGTTTTATGTAAAAAATCCCATCAGCACTGGCCGGAACAGTAACTCCGACTAAATTTAAGGCTTATATGGCGCCGGAGTTGAGAAAATATACCAATCTGATAAAACTAAAAGAAAATATACCAACTTGTCACCAAGCCTCGAGAAAATATACCAATCTGGCCATTTTGCCATTTAAAAAATAATGATATTCAACCACGTGCATTGCACGTGCATTTCAACTCATGATATTCAACCACATGCATTGCACGTGCATCTTAACTAGTTTACCAATGTTGCCTCTCATTAATATCCCTATAAACGTCCAACCATCTACCCACAATTTTTTCCTAAAAAAGAATGACCATCTCATCAAACGGTACCGATGCTTATTTCAGCATAGTCGTCAACTTCCAAATTAGAATTCTCCAAGATGAATGTATATGACATTTGTTACAAGATGAAAAAAAAAGTTTTAACATAAAATAAGTGAAGGAGATCATGAAAAAAATTTAAGAAATGTCACAAGAATGAAGCTGGTCACTTAAGCATGCTCTGAATTTTGCACAAACCAAGGAATAAATTATGAAATTTGGGCATTGCATGGAAAAATCACTACATGATTAAAAATTGTGTTCTTTAAAATCTTCACCAAATTAATTAACAGAGTAATCAAACACGAACAAGATATAAGCACAAGGACTTCCAAAACAACCCAAGAATCAAGATTTTCACCATGTGTGCCATTCTATAGCAACGATTATAGAAAACTTATCAATAAAAATACGCACAAAAATAAATCATGAGAAAATAATCAAAATTTAAGTTTGTCTAGATTACATATCACGTCGAAAATCCCCCCCCCCCCCCCCCCCCCAATTCCTCATCTCCCTCAATTATTGCTGATATGTAATCTAGAAGAACTTAAATTTTGATATGTTCTCATGATTTATTTTGTGCGTATTTTTATTGATAAGTTTTCTATAATCGTTGCTATAGAATGGCACACATGGTGAAAATCTTGATTCTTGGGTTGTTTTGGAAGTCCTTGTGCTTATATCTTGTTCGTGTTTGATTACTCTGTTAATTAATTGATTTGTGAAGATTTTTAAAGAACACAATTTTTAATCATGTAGTGATTTTTCCATGCAATGCCCAAAATTCATAATTTATTCCTTGGTTGTGCAAAATTAGAAGCATGCTTAAGTGACCAGCTTCATTCTCTGTGACATTTCTTAAATTTTTTTCATGATCTCCTTCACTTATTTTATATGTTAAAACTTTTTTTTCATCTTGTAACAAATGTCATATACATTCATCTTGGAGAATTCTAATTTGGAAGTTGACGGCTATGCTGAAATAAGCATCGGTACCGTTTGATGAGATGCGTCATTCTTTTTTAGGAAAAATTGTGGGGTAGATGGTTGGACGTTTATTGCGGATATTAATGAGAGGCAACATTGGTAAACTAGTTAAGATGCACGTGCAATGCATGTGCGTTGATATCATGAGTTGAAATGCACGTGCAATGCACGTGGTTGAAATATCATTATTTTTTAAATGGCAAAATGGCCAGATTGGTATCATTTTTCTCGAGGCTTTGGTGAAGTTGGTCTATTTTCTTTGTTAGTTTTTATCAGATTGGATATTTTTCCCAACTCGGCCGCCATATAAGCCTTAAATTTAGTCGGAGTTACTTGTCCGGCCATGTGTGATGCGGAGGGATTCTTTTACATAAAAACTCCCTCCATCAAATACGAGTTTTCTTCTCCTTAATCCCCTCTCCCTCCTCCTCCTCCTCTTAACCTCGCGCTCTTCCCTCATCCTCCTCCTCCTCTTCCCTCCTCCTCCCTCCTTCATCCCTCTTCCAATCCCCTCCATTCTTCTCCTCCCCCTCCTCCTCTCCTCCTCCTCCTCCTTCGCGCCCTCTCCACCTCGCACAATTCTCTGTCGCCCACCCCCCTCTCTCTCCTCACCCTCGCCTCCAAATCCCTCTTGCTCTCCCCTCCTCCTCTGTCCTTGCCACCGTCAACTCCTTCCTCGGGATCCTCCTCCTCCATTCCTCCTCCTCCTCTCACTCCACCCTCGTGGGCCGAACGGTCAACTCCTTTCCTTGATTGATGATCTGAGTATCCCGCCAAGAAATTTGCTGAAGAGGACATAGGGAAAGTTGAAGATGTTATGACTCCTGAAATTGTTTGAAGTTCTATAATGAATTATTCTTTTTTAATAGACAGAATAAATTTGACTATGACGGCACTGAATTTCTGTAGGCTGGAAGAAAGCATTTAAAAGCGGTTCAGAAGATGAAGAGGAAGAGGAGGTCGAAATTAAAACTGTCTTCTTATACCAATTATTTTGCTGTTAGTACATCATTTTTAAATGATTATTAGCTGACTATCTTCTGACTTTCTTGATTAACAGGAGGGCATTTCTTCTTCCAGCAATTTGTAAGCACGTAGTGTGTGACTAAAGCACCATATATACTGCTTATTATTTCATTACTCAAGTGTTGCAATTATTTTTTTTTCTCTGAATTTTTTTTTATGTTTAGGATCGACAAAGATGATTGATGAGCCAGACGACGAAGAGAACCTAATTTCTCGAACATTGAGAAGAAGGAAGAAAGCGACATGTATTTTTCTCGAACCATTGAGAGAGGGAGGGGAGGACGGAGGGTGGAGAGGGCCGGAAGGAGAGGAGAGGAGAGGAGGAGGGAGGAGAAGATGAGGGGATCGGGAGGAGGGGAGGAGAAGATGGGGTGGATCGGAAGAGGGATGATGTAGGAGGAGGAGAGAGAGGATGAGGAGGGAGGAGGAGGGAGGGATGAGGAGGATAAAGGAGAGGGGGAGGTTGAAGAGGAGGAGGAGGAGGGAGAGGGGCGCGGTTAGGAGCAAGAAACTGTATTGATGAGGGGTTTTATGTAAAAATCCCATCAGCACTGGTCGGAACAGTAACTCCGGCTAATTTAAAGGCCTATATGGCGCCAGAGTTAAGGAAAACTATACCAATCTGATAAAACTAAAAGAAATATTACCAACTTGCTCACCAGCCTCTAAAGAAAATATATCAATCTGGCCATTTTTGCTTTTTTTAAATTTGATTAAAAAAGAGTTTAAAAATTAAAAAAAGAAAACAAAGTTTTTTGTGGATTGATCATCAAATGGATTAATCTCTCTCTCAAAGAAAATATTTATTAATTGCTTTCCTTCAATCCAGGGACGTGGTCAGCATGGATCTATATTTGGAGCTTATAAACACATTAATATAGTACAC